CCCCCCCCCCCTTCTCCCTCCCTTCCCTCCCATCCCATCTTTCCCAAGCTGTTGGCAGGGCCCATTGTTTCAGTGCTCCATGCTAACATTAGCAAATATCTATCTCAGGAAGAGGTACTTAAGCGACGGTAGTCCACGAGGAATCCTCAGCATCCCTTGTACCACGGCAGGAGCGCTACACGGCAAGAGTCAGCCAGGAACTCAGCAAGGGACGTGCACTTTAGTAACCGCCATGGCGATCTCGCTCTTGGTCCCCCCCCCCTCTCCCCCCCCACTTTCTCTCTCTGATTAACATTAAATGGTTGAAATAAATATATGTAGCTTAGTATCTGTATTTAGTCGAGTAGTCCTTAGGAGATACAACAAGACCACGACCTTTTCTTGCTCCACGATACACAGTTTCAACAATATCAATCATTTCTTGTTTGTCATCAAGTGGCCAGTTGATTTTGTTATTATTACCAGTACCTAAATCAATCATGATATGCTTGTTTCTGAAGAAGAACATAACAGTGCAGGGATCATACAATTCATACCTGAAAATGAAAAAGGAAGATCAAGGAGGGTCCACAAGCTGATTCATATTAAAAATTCACAAGCAGACTCAGTTCTGAAAAACTTACATCTTGTTGAAATCTGGGACTGCTGTAATGTCAACTAAATAAAATACTGCATAATTTTTAACTTTTTCGGCAATACTATATAAGACTTCATCCATTTTCATGCAAGTTGGATCCCAATCGTGGCCAAAACGAATAACCTGAAAAATAGAACGTCATAAGAAATAAAACAATTTTTTTATTAAAGCCGTGAGGTAGTTAGTATGTATTTCAATTACCGTCCGCTGGTCTAATACGGACCATTTGTGGTAATTTAGATCACCATCATTTGGCTGCCCTTTGACACGCAGTGCAACCAGGTAGCAGTCTATTATTGGCCTCAATTGAGTTGATTGTAGTAGACACATTCAGATATCAATATGTGCCACATAGCAGCCACAATGTGGTGGTCCAAATTACCAGGCATGGTCCATATTACACCATTTGATGGTATTTTAAGTGGATGATACATCAGTAATGAACATGCATGATGTCTGCAAGCAGTAATATGTAAAATGATGAAAGATAAAAGTAAACATACAACAACTCTGTCCTCTTCTGAAAGGATGGCCTGATCTACCTGCCAGCCGTTGTGGAGATGAGCTAACATGTACGACATGTTGCGGCTTTTGAATAAATCTGAAATAAAATAACTCTGATAATTTATTCTTAAAGATAGACATACTAAGAAAAAAGAATAGAACTGTGCTGACAGAATAAACCGTAGAGGTTAAGACACTTCTAACATCAAAGACGAAACAGAAGCGTTTTCTTGCAGACTTACTACATCAGTAATATCAGGGCAATTTCACAACAAAAGTCACTTACCAACGCAGTGAGACTAAATACAGCTCAAATGGCTGAGTTAAGAATGGTGAAGTAAGAATACAAATTTCCAGACTGACATCAACAGACGATAAACAAGGAAAGTAAACCCAGTTATGTTGTATGAGAAATTTATATTGTTTTTATGAGAATTTGAATTGAACCTTTCCTTTCAATACAAAGTGTTCTGACTGAAAAATAGGTTAGCAGATAGAGCATTAATTGCATGAATAACAACCTTTGATTGTTTAAATTGGTGTGAACTGTAATACTTCCGAGAACCGTGATCTTTGAGTTATTTAACTTATCAATACATATTTAGACATTAGCTGTCATCACAAGGTTCATTGCCAATTATTTGTTTTTGTTGTCTGAAAGGCACCACTTTTGCTCTCTATTATCTCTTATTTCTCTGCGCAGGAAATCAGCATGAACTTTTTGAGCTTCCGTCAAGTGCCAACCCGGCTCAGTCGAATTCAGCCCCCTTTCATCTTTTCTTTGAGTCTTACTCAATCATTGGGACTCCTTCAGAAACGGATTGGAAACAGGAGTCTAATTTTAAATTGTCGGAAGTATTCTAAACGAGAACAACTTGCAGTCTCTCACCCTCGCCTCTACAAGCGACATGATCAACAGAGAATTGATGACAATCTGTCCAAAGACTGGCAACTGATCTTTGCGGCGAATCGAGGGATGCAAGATAATTGGAAAGCCCAAGGTGCCTACTGGGGTTGTTTTGTGGGGTATTGTGTGCTCCCATTGGCTGCAATATATGGCTGGGTGGAGGCAGAGTTAGAGGAAAGGGTTTTGATGGCTGGTATAGAAATGGCTGCCCAAACCCAATGGGCTATATTTATTGCCTTAAATCTTCTTGTTATTTCTAATATCTCACACTATTTTCGCTCTATCCCCAAAAGAGTTTATTATAATGATAAAAGTGACAGTTATCTAGCCATTAACTATCATTTCCTCCCTTGGAAACAAGTGCGGACAGAGTATCAAACAACTGATATTAAAAAATACTCTGGTATGAAATTTGTGTTCAGATTTAACCCAGCTGGACACAACGAGTTCAAGATAAAAAACAAAACATTTATATTTCCTATCAGCCATTTCCGGAGTGGCCATGACAGGGAATGGATGTTTCGTAGTAATGACTTAGAGTATTAAAAGGATATGAGGTGTGCTTTTACTGAGCAGAATCTGGCCTTCCACATCCTACCAGTAATTACAAGAAGCCCTCATATCAATGTGTACTGTTGTGAAAAAAATAAAAATATCATGGAAAAGATGATGTTGTGAATACAGTATTTTTTATTGATAAAATGACATATAACCATGCAAATTCAGAGATTCTAGAAACAATCGTAGAAATATGAAAATGGAAGGAGTACCTAAAGTAAATAAAAACAAAATGCCTGTAAGCCCAAAATACTGTAACACAACCCTTGACACCAATTCATATTTCTCTACAATGACTTAGTTTGTTTAAGCCACAACATGTCATTGAAAACATCCCCAAAGTTAAAAAGTAAAATTGTTCATTGGCTCTTCCTTTTAAAAGTAGTAAATAACGAATAGTACCTACAATATGGACACTGCTTGTTGAAGAAAATATATTTATGAGAAAACTTGGTAATGTAGTTGTCAAGTACAAAGTAATGGTAATAATTGACATGTTTAAAAATATCTTGGTGTTTATGCTTAGATGAGTATTTGCATAAGGTAAAATTTCCAGGTTATCACAAGACTCCTTGGTAACAGGAGAAAATAATGAATCAAAACAATTTGTTTAAAAACATTGTCCACACATAAGTTGGGCAAAGCCGGGCAAAGCCGAGCAAAGCCTACATTTCAACAAATTTTTCCTGCTGCCTTCTAAATAAGGTTGTTAAAATTAAAACATTGGACCTCAAATATCATGGCTTCATATAATATGACAGAAATACAACATCAAATAAATTATAATGAATAGTTCTAATCTAATACATTTTAACACATAAAAATATTGTTAAATTGAGTAGACTAATACTTAACAAAATTGACAAGCCAACAGTTGATAAATAAAACTCTAAATATGTATGTTAAAATGATTTGGTATTAGGTGATATGTGTGAAAAAAAAGTAGCAACAATCTCAGTAAAATAAAAGTATTCAATAAAAATCCTACTGAATAACATTTAGTACCAGCTTGAATGAAAGTCAAGTCATTGTATCTTTGGTTACAAAACGTGTACAGTCTGGGGTACTCACTTTAAATGGAGACAAAGATTTCAGTCCAAGGAAGGTTGAGGCTTTGTTCAAGGCCACAAAAAATACTGACTATAAGAAGTATCACTAAGACATGCAATTTCAAAACTAAATTACACAACATTGTAGTAGGCTCACAGCAAGAAAGGGTAAATCTATTGTGTGGCCTCAAATAAAAATGCATAATAAAGAATGGTGATGTAACAAAACATACTAAAATATTTTTAAGAAAAGAGAGCGCTTTGAGTAAAAACAAATAGTAGAAAAACATACAACAAAAATGATTGGAACTCAAGAGAAGAGTCCTTGGAGTACACCACCAATGCGTGAGTAGCTTGTGATTTTATGTGTCAAGGAGGGCTACTGTTTGGTCATCAACATTTGGCAAACTTAGTGCTGGGCTGTTCGGCTCTTGCTGCAAAAAGGAATTATTATTAGTACTTGTGTGATCATGTTATTACGTTCTGAAATACTTAAAAGACAATCACTTTACCAAAATACTGATATAAGCTTATATACTACAAACCTGCATGTGGGTTAGTGTGAGATGGACCAGTAAAGTAGCAAGCTCGAGGTCTTCACTATAGCCATTTTTCAATGGTATGCTGCGGAAGCCAGAACGAAGAGCTTGGACCTAAAGTGGTCATTAAATAGATAAAAAAATAATTTTTAAGTTGTTTTTATAAAATGGCAAACAGAAAGTGACAATAATTCAACAAACATAAATAATGAAAATAATTATTGCATACCTGATAAGTTGCCTGTCCTAAGAAATGAGGATCTCCAAACATATCTTCATCTCGCACTTCAAAACGAAGTAGAGCATAATTAGGATTTGCAATTTCAAATTCACAGTCTGTATTCCATGTAGGGTTTAGTCCATTATCTGCTGTCCAATTGAAAAAGAAAAATTGTGAGAGTTTACACAATAGATTATAAAGCTGCTTAAAATAACAAAATTGCATGTATATAGTTGTAAAAACATACCAACAGGCTTAGTTGTAAGTTTAACACCTGAATCAAAGTCTGCACCTATAAGTTCAATTTCCACAAAAGGACTAACAGAAGAACGTCCGGGCCGAGTCAAATGACGGGCTGCTAAGATACGGACATTTAAAACAATAGGATCAACACCAGAGAGACGGCTGCGTTTGCTGGGATCAAAGTCATTGGTAAAAGTGAACTCAGGCCTTAGGATGTAACCACAGTATCCATTGATTCGAAACTTGGCTTGATTTAACTGCATACTCTTATCTATTAAAACAGATTAGGAGAAAAAGAAGTCACAATACAGAATATACAAATGGAGTTTTCCCACTGTGAATCATTACATGTTGTAAAATTTGGACAGACCTGGCTTTTGATAATTGAGAGCAACCATTTGAGTACCCATATTCCACAAGGGTATGGGGTCTGGATTTGATGAATCAACTCTGGATCCTTTGGGATAGACTCTGCTCAGTTGATGCTTTAGAAAGAAAAAAGGAAAATAAATAAAACATTTGTTAGGCTACAAAAAACAAAAAAAAAATTGAATTTTTCCATTTCAGTTTAAATATTTAAAAATGTGGTAGAATGTAAAAGCATTCTCCTTCTAACAAACTACTTAAGTTGGAGAGGATAAAATGACTTTACCTGGTGATATTTCACAAAATAGCTCCTCCCTTTTTGGCAGATAATCTTCTCAGCTTGAGTTTCAGGAAATGATGACATTTCATGTATGTTAAAGATCATTCTCTCACTATTTAGTTTATCAGTGTTGAATACAACAGAGCGACAGTACACAGCAAGATTGGACATTTCTTTTGCAATGCGAGAAATGCGTTCCATTTGCTTATTCTTTGCCTCATCTGCAGAGGCATTCTCAGCAGCTTCTCTGATGGCAACATGCCAACGGTTAGCATCTTCAAGACTAGTAGTAGCCATCTCAAATGGCACAATCATGTTTGGTCCTTGAATCCTGAGAATATACCAAGGATTGTCAATGTGTCCATCTTGCTTGAATTCCACGGTTGCTCCCGTTAAATCAACAGGTCCACCAGGCACTGGATCAACAGACACACGAGGCTGCAATGCAATAATTGGAAGTTAGAAGAGTATATTTAAACCACACAATAAAATATCATTTCATAACTGAAAGCAAGTCTGATAAAATCAAAATAAATTAACATAAATAATCAAATCTAACCGACTGCTCGCAGTCAGAGCTGCTATGCAACTCCTCTACATAATTAGATGGGAACATGTGTTGCCTCTTCCCACCATAGTCACCACGCCACCAACCTCCCTCAACTCTACGCACATTAGTGATAATGGCATGCTTGGGGAATGACAACTCATCATCATGGTGGGCTTGGTAATCAAACAAAGCCTTCACAGTAATCTTAAAAACAGAAAAAGGAAAAATAAAAAAATAATTCAAACTGTCCTTTGCTACCAACCAAAACTCAAACCAACTGAAAATAATTAAGTTGAAAGCCAACAATAAGTAATTAATGCGAGATAAAATTAAAAGGCTTACCACTCCAGAGGATGTGAAGCAGCTTGGATCCATGTAACCTGGAGTTGTATAGACATTGGCACCATCATCAATATTCTGGAAACAATCACATATATTTTCCGTTGTCAGTTCCATAGCTAACAGTCCAAATTACAATACACTGCAGAAGGTGAGGTAGTATCTTTCACCACCTGCTCCGTATCAGTATTGCATCAAGTCAAATAACACTGTCATCTGACCTATTAATAGGTGAAGAGGGAGAGGGGCAGGGTAAAACAAAGTTAGGATGGTTAGGACTGAAGAAAAGAGTGGTGGGGAGGAGTGATGAGTGAATGGGTAGGGTGTCCAAATCCCCCCCCCCCTTCTCCCTCCCTTCCCTCCCATCCCATCTTTCCCAAGCTGTTGGCAGGGCCCATTGTTTCAGTGCTCCATGCTAACATTAGCAAATATCTATCTCAGGAAGAGGTACTTAAGCGACGGTAGTCCACGAGGAATCCTCAGCATCCCTTGTACCACGGCAGGAGCGCTACACGGCAAGAGTCAGCCAGGAACTCAGCAAGGGACGTGCACTTTAGTAACCGCCATGGCGATCTCGCTCTTGGTCCTCTCCTTCACCTGCCTGTGCATCGCCGGCTTCAACAACGCCGAGGATAGCAACCCTGACAAGGTAAGTCGGTCCGGCACTGGAGCTCAAGAGTAAACACCGACAATGAGCATCGGAAAACATCTTGAGACTGTCAACCCCATGTTAGATAGTTTTAATTTTCCTGAGATAAGAGTTGCTGGGTTGTACGGCTTTCTTTGTTTGCTCATTACAGTACGGAGCAACTTATCAATTCAAATATCATGTTCACGACCAAATGACAATGGATTATAAAACTCATGAAGAGGTGGGAGAAAATGGTTCAGTGCGAGGTTCATACACAGTCAGAGAACCAAATGGTGATTTAAGAGTGGTTTCATATACAGCTGGAGATACTGGAGGATTTCAGGTAAGTACTAAATGTGTATGTTATTTGAAAGTTAGAAATGATTTGGATCACATAACTTTCTTTCTCCCTATCATTTTAAAGGCAATGGTTCGTGTGAAACCTACACTAAAAACTGAAGCAGAAAATTCAACACATCTTGTTGGACAAAAAGCAGGAGGTGACACACCCCTGAAGATACAGCTCAGCACAGAACCTAATGCAGACTCACTACAGCAACGAGACCAGAGGCACAGCATGACAGAAAAGATCATCACCACCAAAAAGCCTGACAACAGTTCTACCGATAGACCAATAACAACAAATATCCTGCAAAACCTGATAGCTAATAAAAATCTCACAAAAAAGAGAGAAACTTTTGACAAAGCACATCAATTCCAGAGTTTTGCCATTACCTCAGAAATAAGACCATCCACAAATGAGTACAAGTATACAGCTCATCATGCAACAGAACTGCCATCAAAACAAGAATTAATTGCTGCTTATGTACCTCTTCATGTGAGTAGTATACAAGGTACAACACACTATGGTCAATATCTCACTCCAGTTATCCTTCATATGGTACCAGCACGACTTCCAAGGAAAAACATTGTCAAATTCAGTACTGATTTTCAAAACAAAGATAGTTCCAGTACATTTAAGGATTTTACAAGTAAATCAAGGCTGTGCACTGCAGATCAAGTCAAGAGCAATACAAAATTGAACCAGAATAGCAATGGATAATTATAATAAGCAATGAAGCCGAAATTTTGTGCTGACATCATTAAATTGTAGAATACAATTCCAATTCTGATATTTTTTTTGAGTTAACAAATTTTTGTAAATAAAAATAAAGAAAATAAAAACATGATGATAAAATATTTTGACTCACTGTTCCATTGCGTCGCAGCACCTCTGTGCTGACAGCCTTGCGAAGTTTTACTCTGTGATACAAGGGATTTCTTTCATAGTAGCTAACAAGGTCCACAAGACTCTCAAACTCTTTGGAATCAATAGTATACAGTCGACCTTCAACTTGAATGCGACAGGTTTTTATGACTCTTCCAACCCTAAAATATTTAAAAGAAAAGATAAATAGGGGGTCACAATAACAAAAAAATATTTCAAAATATTAAAAAGGTAGATTACAAACCTGAATGAAAGGGCGTATGTGTTTGCTCCAGAAGGACGGACAAGGAAAGCACCATCAACTGGAACTCGTCGTAACATGTCTTCAGCTTGAGAACGTGTGACATTAGGATGAAACCATTCTTTCCCTTGGTGTTTCATAGGTTGTGGGACAGGATTCTTTAATGTAATGTGAAACTCCTGTGAAATGTTGAAGTACACTGTAAGATGTGTTGTGGTTACCATATCAAATTGTTCAAATTTTGTAAGTACCTGGCTCTTAAGGGGATGAGAATGATAGTATGTAATAAGATCATAAAGATTGTCAAAACAGTTCATCTCTATAAGATAATATTTCCTCTGTCCTTTTTCTTGCTTTGAGCGAATGCGACAATGGTTAACTTTGCCCTGCCTCCAAAATGAAAGAGAATAGTCTCCAACAAATGTTTCACTTTCTCTAACTAAAAAGGTTCCATCTCCGAGATGAGAATGTTGATGAAGGAGATCTTCAGCCTCTGCACGGCCTCGTGCTAACTTTCCATGGAACCAGTTTTCACTAAAATGCAACTCATCATTAGGTACACCCTGAAAGATAAGTAGTATGTCATTAAAAGGTGGAGGACTTCAGATTGAAAAAATATTGAGTAACATTAGAGAAGCTTTATCTTACCTCTTTCTGACGTTGGAAACCAGAGGGTTGCTCTTCTTTGGATTCCTCCTCAGTATCCGTCCAGTCTTCAGAACGACTCTCCTCTTGGTTATCCATGCTTTCTGATGGGCTGTTGTCAATTCTTATCAACTTGTTTTGGGTGAGCATGAAAAAGTATTTTTTCCATTCTTTGTCAGAGGGGTCCTCCACATGCAAATACCCCTTGCAGTTTGTATTACGGAAGTCTGGTTCTGCACCTGAAACATTCGCCCAAGAATCAAATACTAATGAAAAAGTTCCAGATTTTTTTACTCGTTCTTTACCACCCACCCTCACCTAGGCGGTGGTGGAAAATGAGAATTGTTCTCGGTGTGAAGTAATGCTTAACATGATTCCACTTTCATCTCACAAGTCACAATACCAACAAACATAGAAATTGTATCATTCTCGTTTGGAAATACTTGTCTTGATTCCAACAATTAACTTTTTTTTGAGTTTATTAGTATTATTTAGAAAACTCGTAACAAATGTTGCTGATTTTTGTGCTAAGTCCCTAACCCAGCTTATTAATGGACACATTAGTCTCAGAAGACACAACAGCCTTACGGGCCGAGGGGGTGGGCAAACCGCCCGCACGTAGGAATGCGGTACAGCATACCTTCAGAGGGCCACCTGGTATGCATATCTGCATATAGTGATAAAATTGGAAAATGTAAAGCACCAAGAACAATACTTGCAAACACCGTAAAGAACAAGTGTTACATTTGACACAAAATTAATAAACTAATTTAATTCCTCTAAAATAAAATAAAATAAAAGTACCATCACTATTGTCTTTTGGCACTACAAATGAAGTTTCCTCTACACCGTCCGGCAATTTCTTGTGTTTTATTAAAATTCTTCCCTTTAGCCTATCAGGTGAAGGCAAGGCTGTTTCATTTTTCTCAACAGGTTCTGTTAAGAGTAAATCTCCAAAGACTTTTTGCATAGCTGCAGCCATGTTCCTTTGCTGAGGGAGTGAACAGTTGTCCTCAATAGACAATATGACGGGATACCTGCAAGAAGTCAATTGATTGTCAGGAATAAATAGCAAAAAAGTTGTACCACATATGACCTTTTAAAGTATTTAAACTGTACTTTGAAGTTACAAAAGCATGTTCTTTAATGGTCTTAATGACATCAAGAAATTTGATTCTCTTTGTAAAGGTGTGACCATGATAAATGGATGGCATGCCTTCTGGTCCATCCCAACAATCCAATTCAATACACCGACAGCCCATTCTCAAACACCTAACATAGGCCTCGACCGATGATGGACTAGAGAACTGGTCTCCGGTGAGATACCTAGGAATAGAATATAGAACTTAGATAAAGCAAAGAAAAAGAGAAGTAACTGGCATACTTAATCAAAGCGACAATTTTTGGAGAATAGCATGGTGTGGATTGCAATAGAGAAAACTTACGTGTTGTGTGATGATGCAATCCAGTAATGGGAAAGTGGTCTGTTCATGTCTTGTGTTACTTTGTTATGACTAGAATCCCACAAATCATTTTGTTTGCAGAAAAGAAAGTTCATGAACTGTAGACAGATACAATAGATAGATGCTAAGGACTGTTTTTGCTTTAGATAGATAATAAATATTTCCACTGAAGAATTTCCACTAACCTCGACTGTGGTGTAATATGGTTCCATGACCTCTCTTTGAGAATCCCGCAAAAAGTCTCGCATTACCTCTGAAACCCACTTAGGGTTCTCAGCTTTTCTTTCCTTTTGCTCTTCTAGGAGAAATCTCTGAAAGTCTTGGAGTGTAACACAGTACTTCCCTCCAGATAGGCTGGTATATTTCTTGAAATGTTCATTAAAAAGCTAGAAAGAAGAACATGCTCTAGAAATTTTCTTCCTCCTACATAAAAATCAACATAAATACACAAATATAGAATAAATAATCTACAAAAAGTACCTTGTCATCAAACATTAGCTTATGAAATAAAGATGAAAATTCATCAAAGCCAAGTTGAGCGCTATTTCTAGTGTCAACCTCATTGAAAAGCTCTCTTAATCTTCCAGTGGGTATCTTACAGTTTACACGCCTCAGGAATGCTTTCATATCTTTTAAAGTAACCCTAGTGTGTGGAAAAAAAGGGGAGGGGAAAAGAAGGAATTAGCAAAATATTGAAAAGGTACACTGACAAACCTTGAACACAGAAAATGTTGTGGTAGTACAAAGAAACTGGCACTCACTTCTCTCCAGGTATCTTATAGATCTCTTTCCGTAATAATGTATCAACATGTAGAGGGTAAGGTGAATTTAAGGTATCAGCTACAAGGTACTCAAGTGCCTGGATCCAAGTACGACAGTCGGCTTCTGATGATGCTATCAAACAGTAAAAGAAAGACTTATTGGTGGGGCTCAGGAATCAGGAAACCATTTTAAGAACAAAAACTTACCTGCTATTGACAAAGTTTTTAAATTGAATTGTGAGCCATACAGAATTAAAAAGCATTGGTTACTGCTTTTGTGTTGAGCTTCTTCTGGCCACATTTCAAAATCTTTTGAACTTTTCCCCCCTCTTATTTCTTTTACTTCCCATAAATCAACTGGGCGTGAAAGTAGATTAATTAGTAAGTTGATAGACATTTCCACAAAACAACAATGTCTGCTAGTTTCCGCTAGTTTCCTTTACTTACCTGTGCTCACAGCAGAGCGCGCAGTAGACCACAAAACTTGTTGAGTCTCTCTTCTAATTTGCAATGTTTTGGTTTCTGGCTTGCGCCGAGGAAAAAAGACAGTAACAACACAGCCTCTTTCCAATTGAGAAATTTTATGTTCCATTTCTGAGATAGTACAGATGCCATTTGGAATTGACATCATTTTGGATGAAACAACTGGGAACAGAAAGTAAGGAAAGTATCAGGAGATGACAACAAGTATAATTGCATGCAAATTACCAATTCTCTCTACATGGAGAAAATAGTTCAAAAAAATATGACTGGCTGACAGAAGAGACTGAAAGAACATAGCTGAAAAACAAACGAAGAGAAATGATGATGCTTAAAGAACATATGGTAAATGACATATGGATAACTAATGGTATGAATGGTATCAGCTGATTTGACATGACCCAATTGGTACCAAATAGTGAAATTTACAAGTAAAATAAATATTCATGTTGTTTGTCTTAACAAAAAAGAAAGAAAAATTGGGCTGCCAATAAATCACTGCCAAGTGTCAAGTTTGACAACTTCATGGAGACCACTTTTGTGTCACATTCAATATCAATTTCTAAACAAGATGTAAATAGTTAAAGACTTTTACCAAGCAGATTTCAACCGATGAGTATTGAAATGCGGCCGTGGCGCACGCAAACAGCTGGAGAGGCCTCTTCGATTCAAAAATCAGTTCGTTGACTCAGTTCGCTGAAGCCACATCCTGTTGATTCGTTGATTGATGTAGAAATACCTAACCTATATTCTGCGTGTACAGGTATCGGCCGTATCGGTACGTTTAACCGTTCAACACGTAACGGTCATGCTGTTCGTTCTTAATATCAATTTAAATGTCTTGCAAAGATTTCTTCATGGTGACAGACACCCAAATTATTCATTTGAACACACTAGATAGATGATGAATAAAATTCAGACGGCAAACATAAAGATAAACAACTCTCATTAACTGATCTTGGGGCCTAACTAACTGTCACACAGTGTAATTAATATTAACGATGTAAAATTTCTGCGTTTTGACAGAATAGCTAGATCAAACAATCGATGCGTACATAAAACTATGAGAATAAACAAAAATAAGTAGAAGTAAGAGTTCGAGAAATGGTAAACGAGCGCAGAAGACGCAACACGCAACAGGCCGTGATTGTTATAAGGTTGGCTGCATGTGTGTGGTTGGTATTTACAGAATCGTTTCCGAGCGGTAACTTTTGAGCGTTTGAGTAGTAGCGCAAAGCTCGCAAAGTCTCGCAGAAGGCAGTCTACTTCTAATAGAAGTCCTAGGAAAGCTGACAATACTTTTCAACTCTTATAGAGATGGTTTATTTTAAACAAATATTACACTATGGTACGAATGCTTTATCACAATTGGTGTTTTCACAAAAAATAAAAAAATATCATAGAACACACATCTTAAGAATTTGGAGGAAACTGGTGAGCATACACAAACTTCACTGCTGATGTTTGTAGTGGTTTCTTGTAGGAAGTATCAATTGAGCTAAGGGAGAAAGAGGTCCAATAAATGAATATTACAATAAAACACAAATGCCTAAAAATCCCTACGTAATGAGAGGGCTCTCACCTATTTTGAAGTCCTCCATCTGCCTTTAAAGGCCAATTTGTATCCATTCCAGCAACAACTTCTACAGGCCTTACAGCACCAAAGAAATCTGTTATAAGAACCTTGTCCGGGTTTCTTCTGAATAAATCACGACGGACTCCAACAGTTGAAATGCATAACCGTTTGGGGCAAACTTTCAACTGAAAGAGTAATGGATATGATTAAGAGTACAGACACGAAAGAGCAACACAAAACTGAGTTTATTAAGATCTATACTTCAGGGAATATGGGCAAAAAAGGTACTCACAAATTCTCCTAAAGTCTTTCGGCTATCTGGTTCTACTCTTTCCAAAAAGTCTAAAGCATAATATGTGTATCTGTCAATAATGTATACACCTATGGCTGGATCAACATGGTGCTGAAAAAAGATAGGAAAAAGAAAATCATTATGCATTTAATAGAATGTCATAGCTAAGAGAGACGAATTTCTTAGAGTTTTAAGAGCTAAATAAGCAAAAATGAACTCACAGACAATGAATCTTCACCAACTAAACTGCTTGCCACTGCTAAGACATTTGGAGAATACATCTTATCATACATAGATGATGCTTGGCACGTATCAATGACAAAAAACATTTCATTATATCTGAAAGAGAAAATAAAAATGCAGTTCCAAACCATGACTTAATTATGTTACCGGACATTCACAAAATAAAATTAAGAAAAATTGTTTACCTTCGTTTTTGCCACATCTGCTCGACAGCATCTGCCAGTTCTTGACTAGAAATTTCCTCAGAATCTTGGAACTTTAAAAAGCCATCACCACCATGGCCTGTCAAATACACCAAAACATTGCTGCCTTCATCAGACAACAATTGTTTTGACCTCGGTGTGCCAGGAGGAAGTCTTCCTATTAGCAACCGGAGGAAATTTTCAACAGTGACCTGCACAAACAGACAATGAGAAATTAATGGTAAGATTTTAATTTAATCATGAAATTAAAATGATAACTAACATACTTTACCTCATAGCCTCTATAGTCAACTTCAACATCATCCCCATAAACATTGATGTGCTCATTAGCATTGTTGAACACTGTCGCTGGACGTGGGTTTCGCAGATTACAGGGCATGTCATCCGCAACCATAAGTATAATCTGACTGGTAATGTAATTGTAATAAGATAAATAAAGCAGCAGAATAATGATCATGCAAAATAAAAAGGAAAAAAGGAATATTTCAGACCTGTCAGGAATACCAAGTCTCTTCACACTCCTGTAAATTGAAAGAACATTGGCTACATGCCGGTAATTGAACCAAAATCTTGATGTATCAACGAGCACCGCCCAATTATTAGTATGGGTGCCTTTCTGGAAACCCTCCGGTATCTGAAAGATAAAATAGGGACTGGTGTTATAAAGAAATCATGGAGGAGTAGCAAGACCTGAGGAAATGGAATATTATAAATAAAGGCACTTTCAAAACACAACAAAACAAACTGTTTTGACAACTCCATAACCTCTACATCACTTCTCAGCCTCACCCTTGAGTCAATAGCTTTCTCGCTGAAACATAATTTAAAGCTTAAAAGTAACAGCGAGAGAACAATTTTAAGCTTTAAAATCATCTCGTAAAAGAGTTTTAGAGGAACACTAAATTTCTTTCTACGAACAAAACAGAAACATCCGATTATCTCTGTCAGTCGTCTGTCGGCAGCTACGGAGCCGGTTTCGGGTGGAGCTTTTATCGCTCAGATGTTGGCAGCAGCATCGCCTGACGACGTCGCGCGCTGTGAATAATTTACTCCATCGATCGCGGTGCGAGTACCGGCCGAAGCCTTACTGGCACGCTCGCTCTGACCAACGGACCAACGACCAACGGCGTCGCGGTCCGCGATCCCTTTCGCGCTCCACTCTGCCGGTGGGCGGACCGCGGATCTGCCGTTTGAGTTTCAGTAGTGGCTTTCTTTTAATTTCCCGGGTAGTGTTTACGTTTGGCATCCATGTAGGGCAACATTTTAAGTGGCGAGTGCAGTGGGTGAGGACGAGAGATACACTGTGCACCGATTGAGGTGAGAAAGAGTGTTTTTAGTGGAAATGATTGCCGTGTGATTTGGTGCATAGCAGAAACCGGACGACAACCTAGCCCTCTCTTTTTGACAGATGTGGTTTGACAAATTGTTTTTTTCTCAACTACGGTTTCAAATTATCTGTCATCTTGTTATTTGATCCTACAAATATTGCTATATCTTTCGAGAGTTTGTGAGGACCGGGGAAACAATTTTTAATAATTTAGTGTTCTAGAAACAGGCATGTTTTTGAGAGCAATTTTCATTTATAATATCTGTCTACTGTGTTTTTTCTATTTTTGTTATTGCACTCATTAAAGTATGGACTTGGAAAACTGCCGTAACTTTTTTTAAATAGCTACTTACAATGTTCATTCAATTGAACACATTTTTCAAAGTTGAAAATGTTATGATCTCTTTGACCTTATCATTCCTAACCTAGAAAGATTTTGTCCCGTCCCTTTTGCAAATGTCACATCAGCTACTACTTGTTTTAAGAAAAAAGAAAAGAACTGGAAAATGGAAACTGATTATTTATTGTTACATTTGTTTCTTCCCCAGGAATTGAAGATGCTTACCAATCGAACAAAACATACACTTCATTGCATTTTATTATTTTGCGTTCTCCTATTTTACCAATTTGCCACTGGCGGAATCCAAATTGGCTACAATGAATCTCTCAACTTTGATCCATGGGAACGTTACGGTTTTGCAGGAGCGCTCCTTCTGTACCTGTTACGATGCTTCACATTCTTGCCGCTGCCACAGGTCCTATTTAACTTGTATGGACTCACTAGATTCAATGCATTTCCTGGCAAGGTGAAACTTACTGGATCACCTCTTTTAGCACCATTCATATGCATTCGTGTGGTGACGAGAGGTGATTACAAAGAGCTAGTGAAGAACAATGTTTCTCGCAACATGAAACAATGTTTAGAAGCTGGATTGGAGAACTTTCTTATAGAGGTAGTGACAGACAAGCCTATTGGTTTACCACAACATAGAAGAACAAGAGAACTTGTTGTGCCAACTTCATATCAACCCAAAAGTGGCGCCCTTTTTAAATCAAGAGCATTACAATATTGTTTAGAAGATGGAGTCAATATTTTAACTGATAATGACTGGATTGTACATCTTGATGAAGAAACCCTGCTCACTGAAAACTCAATCAGAGGCATTTTGAACTTTGTACTTGATGGGAAACATCATTTTGGGCAAGGGCTTATAACCTACGCCAATGAAGACGTCGTGAATTGGATCACGACGGTCGCAGACAGCTTCCGAGTTGCAGACGACATGGGGAAACTACGAGCCCAGTTCACCGTGTTCCACAAGCCTTTCTTCAGCTGGAAGGGGTCCTTCGTTGTAACACTGGTGAGTTTGATAACTAATTTGTTCATAGTCTTAATGATCCATATTTTGACAAGTGACATTGTACCTCGCTAGTCCGCTCGAGTGACCTAGGTCAATGCGATTGTGTGTGGTGGCGTTTCCCATCCCAAGGCCATGGCGTGTGCAGGGGCCGGCCGGGCAGTACCTCGTCGGCGCGGCGGGTCCCTGGCCTGGCGTGACGCGCAACCTGGAGAGATAAAGGCAGTTGACGTCACGGGTCTGCAGGGGTACCCGCAGTATCCAGCGCAGTTTCACAGTGGGGGATGAGGGGGGGGGGGCAGTCAAGCAGCCCTAGAAAGCCGCCTGAGATGTAGTCAATTATTTGCCGTACAAAACCCCTAGGCAACCCACAGAACATCGCCCCCCTCTCTCAGCCGGACTTAACTGCGCCAAGGCAGTCCTACCTTTGTTTTTCCAGTGTTGCGCTGGCCGTTTCTCTTGGCCTCTGGGTCTTATATGTTAGCTAATTTGGCGAAGAAGATGACGATGACGAGTGAGTGGTTGCGCCATTCGCCTCCAGCGTCCTTCTGGCATGGCTCTTGAGCGAGGCCGCGAGTGGCCTGTGTGGTATGGCTGTAAAAGCGGGGCTAGAAGCCCCTTTAGTATCAATACGCAGGTCCTGGCCAGTGCAGTTGTACTCACTTTCAAGGCGCGTGAGGCGCGTAAGCGTGTGCCTCTCTGTGGGCGTGGACGTTAGGGACTTCCCCCGCCCCTGCTCCTTTCTCCCTCCGCGAGACCCCCCTCC